AAAGTTAATACGAGAATAGTGCGGAGATTTTTTGAGAGGAGGACAGATTAGTAACACATATATGTTAATAACTCGAAATTCAGCTGGTAAAAAAAAAAAAAAAAAAAAAAACAAAAAATACTTTTTACGATCGAGCGCTCTTTCTTTGATAAGCGCGTTAAATACACCGAAAAAACTGTATTCTTATTTTGAGGATATCCCACTTACTTTAAGTATATTTTATATAATACTAAAATAGGCGCCAAGAAGAGTTTCTTATTTTAAGAGGAAAATCCTCTAAATAGTGATATTGATAACATTTTTCTTATATATCTCATATTTTCTCTTCGGAAAGTAATGTAATCGTTTTTGTTTTGACTTTCTTATCGAAAAAGTTGTCGCTCGAAGGTTCGCCGTGCCGTTTGAGATTTAGTTCTTGAAAAATCTTTCGTTTTTTACGTTCAAATACTTGAAAAGTATTTGAAACTAATTCCGAACCTTCGTGGCCTCTTTTTTGTCGGGGGGGGGGGGGTTTACCAAATTCTCTCCAAAAATTATTAAAACTAAATTATGCAAAACCGTTTTTTCGTCAAATAAACAATCGGTCAAGACACTTGAAAGACGTGGAAGACAGACGTTTGCAATTTTTCTAATATTTTAAATCAAAGTAAAACGCATCGAAATTTTGGAAACCGTGGACGTAACTTGGAACTGTTTCAGGATTAGGATTAGAAACAAATGTCTCACCGAAAAACTCGAGTTATGAATCAGTGAGTGTCTCTGTGTAGATAAAAAAGATAGTTTCATGTCTCGGTATGCGTTAAAACGCGCGGTAGTCGCAAAAACATCCGAACGATTGTCGACGACGATTCGAGACAGACGGCTGGCAGTAGTCGTGTACCACACGCATCTGCCGGTAAAAAAAACTATCGATATGTCGAATAAATCCGCTTGGTCAACAGTTTTTTTTTATGATTTACGCGCGCGTATGTGTGTAATTGACCTACATTTTGCGCGGCAGGAAGAGATCGGATAGTTTGAGTCCTAAATTGTCAGGACATTGATGTTACAACGAGCAGAGAGAGAGAGAGAGAGAGAGGAAGAGGCGCGCGTCGTAGGGGTGACTTAATTAACCAATTATAACTTTTGCTATACGTGTACAACGCGCGTGTACTAAGCGGAGCACATTTATATAGAGAAACCCCCGTGTATCGCCTGAATGAAATTTCGCCGCTGACTTTGCCGCGTCGCGAATAAGATAACATCGTTTTCCGATCGAAATCCGAAAGACGAATTAAAACGTTACCGTTATCCTTGACACAATGGTGCGCGCAAAAGAGTTTTCTTCTTTGTCTCTTCTCCGACAGGCCTTTATTGAGTGTAGCAAAATCGAACGGGTCAAGAACGTAGGTGCTCGCAGCGAATATATACATATATATGTTGCATATATGCATTTATAATATAATGTTTCCATTCTGACGTGACCGAAGCCTTGACCCATATATGATTATCACGTGCGAGATAGAAAATATGATATTTGCCTGTTAACCAGACAGAGAGAGAGAGAGAAAAAAAAAAGAGAGAGAAAGAGGAAGAAAGTAGCTTAAATAAAAATTTTACGCGCTCATTGCCAACGTTTATTACCCGTATCGCCGCGGAATTAAATTCACAACGTAAAATTGTATACGGCGACATATATATTT